TAAAGAAAATGTGTCATTTATACACAATGGAGTACTGCTATGCCATAAAGAGGGATAAACTTGAGTCATGTGCAGGCCAATGGATGCCCCTTAAGACCCTAATTTTTGGGGTTGGGGAGATGGCTCAATAGAATAAGTGCTTCCCTGGCAAGCGCAAGGGCCTGAGTTCAATCCCCAGTTCCGAAAAAAAACCAAAACATAATTTTCAGTGAAATAAATCAGACACACAAGCGTAAATATCACATACTTTCTCTTATATGAGAAACCCAAAGTATAAATCATAAAAATGATAAGACAACAGGAAACAGGGAGATAGTTCTTTTACGGAAGGGAAGGGGATCCAGGGAGGAGACTGGGAGGACAGAGGGAGGAGAATAAAAGTAACTAAGAGAAGTTAAGGACATGTACCTACTCCTCTACATTTGTGTAAACAGCATGCATTGCAAACCTAGGCTAGTAAAGAAAAAAGCCAAAGTACTTGCAATGCTGCTCCAAGCCCCAGCATCTGGATCCTTTATCTCTGAGGCCAGCTCCTCACATGTCCCCTCCACGGCAGCTCTCAATGTAAGAAGGCTCCTGTCTGAGGTTCTTTGCGCTGGTTGCCTCTTCTGAGAATAGTCTATCCCCAGATAACCTCATGGCTTACTCTCTTCTTCCTTCAGGTCCCTGTTTGTTAGTCACATCTCATGCTTTGATTTTTTTTTTTTTTTCACTACGCCACCATGCCCAGTTTCGGTGGCTGACATGGCATGTGGTACCAGGGATAGAACCTGGGTCCTTGCACTTGCCAGGCAGGAGTTTAGACCACTGAGCTATTTCCCCAGTCCCATAGTCACATCTCAAAGATCCTTTCCCTGACTACCTGTGGTAGATTGCCAGCTGGTGGTCAACTTGTTACACCCAGATGAATTAAGCTAGCATGGGACTGGGTATGGGAGGCCCACCTGAGGATTGTGACTGGCAGCAAAAGAGGCAGAACTGGAGAAGAAGAGAGAAGCTGTTAGGGATGCTGTTTGGAGCTGCTGGAAGCTGTTAGAGGCTGCTGGTTCTCTTGCGCTATTCTGCTGGGTGACCTTGTCCTGCTGGCTTTCCTGGTGAACTTGGCTGCTCTCACTGGTGGAGGAGCTTAGGACTTCGATGTCACTGAGAATGGTTAGGGTTCATTTTGGGGGAACTCTGGTCCTCACCTTGAGCATCATTTCCTGGCTCAAGAGAGGAAGATGGTGCACTGCTCAGTCTCCTGGAGAAGCTTGTCACAGTGGTCTTCCTGATGGGATCCCAGCTGTCCTCATCACTGGAGGAGCTCAGGACCTTACTGTTGTTGAGGACGGCTGTGGTGCTTGCCTTGAGAATTGCTTCCTGGCTCCAGCTCGGGTCCCCCAGCCTGCTAGCACACATCCTTCATCCTGCTGGCACAGACTTCCTAGCTTCCACTTCTGACCTTTGTGCCTTCCCAGCACAGATCTGTGGAGCAGGCCTGTGTGAGACATCGTCGTGGACTCTAGGCCTCCAGGTGGACTTGTAGGAGGCATTGTTATGGGCTCTAGGCTTTCAGCTGGACTCATGCAGGGTATTAGGATCCAGGCTCTCAGCTGGATTCTTTGGTCTTTAGTATGTGGATAGATCTTCCTGCACTGTTTTTTTT